CAGAAGGATCAAATGAATAATATTGGTCAAGTGCCTTGTTAACAGTGCTGGTGGATGGTCAATAAATTACAATATGGCAGCCAGTATAACAGCTGAGGTGCCCCATATCCTTGGCAATGTGTCAAGTGCTTTATGTGAACTGCTTTATCTTCAGAGCCCTTAAGGTAAGTACATTTATTATTTGTTTGTAAGTGCAACACTCCAAGAACTATTTCCACTTACCTGTGTTGCATTCCAATATTTATTTAGTACACATATTTTCTTTCTTCTTCTTTTTTTTTTTTTTTTTTTTTTTTTTGTTTTTTTGTTTTTTGAGACAGGGTCTCACTATGTAGTTGAGACTGACCTGGAACTCACTATGTAGCCCAGGCTGGTCTCGAACTCACAGCGATCCTCCTGCCTCAGCCTCCTGAGGGCTGGGATTACAGGTGTGCGCCACCACGCCTGGCTAGTACACATATTTTATGTATACTGTAGCATATTTATACTTCTCACTCTAGTTTTAAATGTGATTTACTATTTTGGGTTATTATGTATAGGTTGAATAATTTCCCATTGATTTGCAGCTCTATAATTGATATACACACCCACTACCGCTAGACTTCTTCAGCCATGGAACTCATTTCTCCCTTTGACTCTTTTGCTGTTTTCTGTCAAGTTGCTCTCCAAAGACGGTGACGTTCCATAATAAAATGGAGTCATTTTTTTAACCTGGCTGTGCTATTCTCTAAATTCTATTTTAAAGGGGAATAGGGGTTGTATGAAACGTTCCTTAAGAAATCAGAAAAATGGCAGTGATCCAGTCAAACAACCCATCAATCAATCAAGAAGCAAGCAAAAAAAAAGGGCAAGAACTGCAGATGGAAAAGTCCAAAGTTATAGTGTGACTAAGATGAGAAACAGCAGTAGGGATAGGAAATACAAAGACCCTAAGTCCATAAAAGGAGATTTGTAATACTGGTTTCAGAGCAGTCAGTCCAGACGTATCAGATCATCAGTAGTGGCTTTTACTGCATCACAGAAGCCACTAGTGAGCTGGGTGAGATGTGGAGCGGGAGAGGACCCCTTGCTCCCTTGCCTTCCTCCAGTGTCAGGGCTCTGGGTGAAAGCTGTCCCATAGCTGGTCTGTACTGACAGACGGCCTCTTCCTAGGTGGGCCGTGTGCCAGCCCAGTGACCCCAGGAGCCACGTCGTGACACATGACATCAGCTGTAGATAATGCAGTCTCCTGGAGATCCATGTACAGGTGGTGGTAGGGAAAAATTCTTGCTCTGCTGGGGCTGCTAAGCTGAGAAAGTGGGAATTGAAGCTGTTGGCCACCATCTCGCCTAGGTGTGTGAACGTGGCCAGCTGCACGAAGAGAAAGCAAGGAATGAGGGGAGAGAGAGAGAGAGAGAGAGAGAGAGAGAGAGAGGCGAAACAAAATCTAGACAAGTGATGGGAAGGAGAGAAAATGTGGAAGGGAGAAAGTCGTTTTGACAATACCTTAGGTAGCCTGTGTTTTGCCTGCGGCTTTTTGCGAGTTCGAATATCTCATTCTAAATGTGTGACTTCAGTCAGGCAAATTTGGACAGCAGACTGAGAGCCACAAACATAACTGCTTTTTGGTTTAGGTTTTTCTTTTGAGCCAGGGTCTGGTGATGTTGTCCAGGCTGGTCTTGAACATGTGAGCTCAAGTGAGCCTCCTGCCTCAGCCTCCTGAATGGTACGGACTACAGGCACGTGCCACTGCAGTCAGCTTGATGCTTCTTCCTAAACCTCAAGCCCATCCCTCCACCTGCACCCTGGATGCCCCTCCCTCCTGTGTTAGCAGAACCGTGATATCCTCATCCTGTCAAAGATGCCCTTCTGCTAGTGTCCATTCCCCTTCTGAGGCCCTCTCCTCTTCTCAGCTGAGCCTCTAAAGAGCGTCTCTGCCCTCGGCTCCCCTATTGTTCACCTCGACTTACTCCACGTGGTCTTCCACTTGCCCCTCCATCGAAACTGCTCGAAGATCACCAAGGACCCTCTGGTGCTGGCTGCACCTCGTTCTGTCCCCCTTGCTTAACCTCCTAGCCTCAGGTCATCCAGCTGAACAGACCTCCCTGCTTGAACACTTTGACTTAGGTTTCTCCAGTGCCTGGGTACCACCCTCTCCTGGTTTTCCTCCCGCCTTCCTGGATGCTCTCCTGCTGGCTTCTCTCTACCTGTAAAGGCTGGAGTTCGTGTACGGCTCCACCCCGGCTCTCTTTTCTCACGCTACCTTTCCTTCCTATCTGTTGCCATAATGGGCTCTCATCTAGCACCCTTCTAGCTTTATTGCTACCTCTATAAACCGGCTTTTAAGTCTATGTCCTCTGCCCGGAGTGCTCCTCTGAGGGCCACAACGACCTAGCCAGGTGCCCAGCTCAGATTTCCACGTAAATGTATCAGAGACATCAAGCTTGACAAGTTGCAGATTGAACTGTTCATCTCCTCCCTCAAATATTTTTCTCCTTCAGAGCTTAACTCTTTCCGGGCTCCCAGGACACGGAGTTGTTCGAGCCACATTCCGCAAGTCATCCTGGGTATTTCCTCTTCCCCCTTCCCCCTCCGTCCGACCCACCCCACGGCCTGTCACTTCTCCCTCGTGTTTAATCTATCTCCACCTCTATCCCCGCCACCTAAGTCCCAGTCACTGTCTTCTCCCCGTCTGCCTTTATAAAAATTAGAACAACTTTTATCAGAACACGTTTGCAGCGTGTGATGATTACGTTTGTTGCGGCGAGCTGGTACGCATGCGTAACACGTTTTAATTCTTTCCACACCCGCTTCCTCTCCATCCTCTCCACCTCTGGATCCCCTTCCCATTTGGCTGCATCCTCCTAACGGGTCTTTCCATGCTCATGCTTTTTCTTACTAATCCATTCACTGCACAGCCCAAGGGATTTTTAAGTACACAAATCTCCTCCCATCCTTAATGGCCTCCTGGGACTCCCAGTTGCTCCTATTCAAAGACTTCATAAGCTCCCAGTGTGGTCTGTGTGGTTGCCTTTCAGCGGATTTCACACACTTGTCCCTCTTTTCTTATTTCCAGCCACAGGTCCACCTCCCTTTCGGGCACTGGGTAAACGGATCGTTCTGCTTCACTTCTTCTGCCCCGACTCCCCCATCCAGTGACACTGTCCTGTGGCACCCTGGACTCTTTCCTCATGTGTCATCCACGTGTGGCTCCTCCTATTTGTTGCTCCTCTTCCCTGGCTGTCCTGCCTACCACAGCCCACCCTGGCCTGAGGTGCTGGCCAAGAAGAGTGAAGATGGGGTGTCTGGTGCCCCTCATTTCCCAACCCTGGGGTAGCTACACAGCTGCCTGTCATCTGGGCTCTGTCTTTTTAAAATAATGCTGAAGCTCAACAGCAGCAAATCTTCCTATTGTTCTTAAAACTTTATTCCAGCTTTTGGAGAAGGGAACAGTTTACCCAAAAGGTGGACTTGGCCTCTTCCCCTGAAGCCTGAGGACCAGGCAGGGACCCCATAGATGATGGGTAGCGTACTTCACACACCCTGCCCAAAGCTGAAGGTTTTCGGGGAGAAGTGCAGTATCCCACCCCGATCTCTAAGGAAGCCTTGGTGTTTTTAAAACAGGCTCACTCTTCACTCACGTGGCACCGAGACACTGCAGGGAGACCCAGCCAGGCACCGACACCTGATAAGAGCTCCCAGACAACCAGGACAGCGCGAGGAGGTGTAATTAAATGTCTAAGAATGGCCAAGACTCTACATGGGAGGGAGACAAAATGGTTGTGGCTGGCCCTCAGGGCGCAAGCTCGGCACACAGCAAAGCAGACCCCGCAGGGACAGAACCACAGGAGCCTTGGGGAGGCCCAGAAGGCTGCCCACTCTGACAACAGCCCTGGGTGTCCCTACAGGCAATTTCTTAGGCCGCACCGTCTCAGGCCGGCCTGCATTTGAGTATTTTCTGCCCTTGCTAGACAGGCCTGGGTGGACCGGGCACCACCCCGCAGAGGAAGGCCTTACTGCCTCAGCCACATTTGTCTCCAGAAGAACCGACCTTTCCGGCTCTCTGTGCAACCAGACACACCTCTCCAAGGAAAGAGGTCAGGATTTCCACCATCCCCAGTGCCATATTAAAACAAAAACAAAAACAAAAGGCTTGACTAATTACCCTGTGCAGGAAGGGCGTACAAACAGGACGGGCCCGGCTGAACCATCCCCGTAAAGATTTGGAAAAAGCCCCGTATGCCCTCCTGCGGCCAGGCCTCCCTGACGGCCGGGCAGGGTCCCCGGCTCCTCGTCCCCGCTCCCCACCCGC